GCGTATTCTTCCCTTTTGGGTTTCTAACTCCAGGTCTTTGCACATTTCATTATAATAATTGACTTTGTCTTCTCAAGCTGCTTTTTGAAATCTTCTGTTCAGCTCTTTTATCTTGTCATTTCTTGCATTTGCTTTAGAAAATCTTTGCTCAAGGGCAAGTTTCAGAGTCTTTTCTGACATTCATTTTGGTCTTTTCTTTGTTTCCTGTCTTTTTAATGACCTCTTGCTTTCTTCATGGATGATGTTCTTGATGTCATCCCATAATTCCTCTAGTTTTTAGTCACTGGTGTTCAGCGTATCAAATCTGTTGTTTAAATGGTCTCTAAATTCAGGAGGGATATATTCAGGGTCATATTTTCACTCTCATGGACTTGTTTTAATTGTCTTCATATTCAACTTGAACTTGCATATGAGCAATGGATGGTCTGTTCCACAGTCAGCTCCTGATCTTGTTTTGGCTGAAGATATTGAGCTTTTCCATCACCTCCTGCCACAGACATAGTCAATCAGAATTCTGTGTATTTTATCTGGCAAAATCCACATGTATAGCTGCCATTTGTGATGTTGAAAAAGGTATTTGCAATGAATAAGTCATTGTCTTGCAAACTCCTATCATGCAATCTCCAGTATTATTTCTATCACCAAAGCTATATTTTCCAACTACTGGTGATTCTTCTTTGTTTCCAACTTTTGCATTCCAATCACCAGTGATAATCAGCAAATCTTGATTGCATGTTTGGTCAATTTCAGACTGCAGAAGTTGATAAAAATCTTCAATTTTTTCACATCTTTGGCTTTGGTGGTTGGTGTGTATATTTGAATAGTAGTATTAACTGGTCTTCCTTGTAAGCATATGGATATACTATCACTGACAGCATTGTACTTCAGGATAGATCTTGAAACATTCTTTGTGATGATGAATTCCATGCCATTCCTCTTCAACCTGTCATTCCCTGTATAGTAGATCATATGGTTGTCTGATTCAAAATGGCCAAAACCGGTCCATTTCCATTCACTAATGCCTAGGATGTCACTTTTTATGCATTCCATTTCGTTTTTGATAACTTCCAATTTTCCTAGATTCATCCTTTGTACATTCCATGTTCTGATTATTAATGGATGTTTGCAGTTGTTTCTTCTCATTTTGAGTCATGCCAAGTCAGTACATGGAGGTCCAAATGCTCTACTTTATCCATATCATTAAGATTGGTTCTACATTGATGAGGCGGCTCTTTCCCAGTTGTATTTTGAGTGCCTTCCAACCTGAGGGGCTCGTCTTCCAGCATTGTATTGGACAATGTTTCAGGGCTATTTGTAAAGTTGCCCACTAATATATAGACAGTGTTTCACTGCTTTTCACAAGGTTTTCACTGGCCAATTCTTTGAGAAGTGGATGGCCTCTTCCTTCTTCCAAGTCTGTCTCAGTCTGGAAGCTGCATTGAAACTCATCCACCATGGCAACCCTGCTGGAGTTTGAAACACCGGTGGCACAGCCTCCCGCCTCACAGCAACATGCAAGCCACCACAGTATGACAACTAACAGACAAGTTTATCCCCCCTAGCTGTTCCAAACCCCTGCACTCACTTCCTGGCCTTCCCCATTACCTGTATCTAGCTGTCAGCTCTGGATTCCTGCTTCCTGCCTGAGACTCCCTCTCCCCTTACCTGTATCAAGCCATTGATCACTGGCTTCCTGCTTCCTGCATGTGGGCTCTCTCTCCCCTCTGGTGCAGGACTGACAACTGTTTCATACTGTTATAAATAGGATTGCTATGAGTCAGAACCAACTCACCAGCACCTAACAACAACAGCAGTAGAGGACATTATGATTGATGCTCATGTAAAACCTTTAGAGCTAGATCTCTCTTTACAAGTAGGTTGATAGAAGAATATGAAATAAGCCCACCCTCCTCTCTGATGACTAGTGAGGCTCTGGGGCCAAACTGATAACTGGTTCTCTCTCTTGCTTGCAAAGCCCTAAGTAAGGTCTACAGCTGTTTTGTTTCTGAGTATATGGATCTACAAACCAAGAGTGTAGAGGAACCTAAATTCTCTTTATCACACGAATCACTAGAGAATAGAATGTGTCATCAATACTCTGTTTAACAAAATAATCACATAATTTATCAGCTCTTGCTCTGTGTGGTGCTGTACAAGGTGGTAGAATAAAAAGAATGTAAGAATAATATCCCTGTGCTGGTATTTATTTCAGTATCTTTTTTGTCTTGTCTTTTGAGGAACTTGTCACCTAATTGGCAAGGTAAATCTAGAGCACAAGACATAAGATCTATGCAAAATGGTATATGTTAAATACCACATAAGAAGCATTCAGGGCTCGTTGCAGTTCTGAATCCTTAAGATATCAGGCAAAAAAGAAGAGTTAGAATTTGAATTGGACTTCAGTCAAAGAGTCTAACTTGGATTGGAATGGGGAGGTGAATGAGAAGGGAAACTGATGGTAGAGAGGAGGGTGTCACAGAGCTTTCTGAGAGCAATATATAAATCCTTGTCCTCTGCATGGTAAAAGCAGAAGATTTAAAAAAAAAAAAAAAAAATCAGGAAATATTGTTGGAAATGTAGGAAAAGGTCAGCTTTTGAAGAACTTTGAATTTGGGCCTTATTCTACCCTGCCTATCTTGAATCCCATCAGAGGTATGTGGAGATTAAAGTACCACAAGTACCTTTATCACTTGTCAGTGTGTGAAGCAATTCCTGGGTGAGATTCCAGTGAATCATAGGCCTCATGTGTCAGCTCCCCTCATAGAAAAGCTGGAAAAAAGTCTCCATGGGATGTGAATTATTCAAAAGAGGTATTTGAAAAGGATACCAAGGTGTGGTTATTGTACTTCTTACCCAGCACTGAGACTGAAGCTCACCAAAAAATAGGAAATATATAAGTTTGGAGCATTGGCAAGTTTCAAGTCGTCTTTTAAAAGTTGTCACTTCCAAGTTGCTCCTCTCCTACTCACTTCACGACAGAGTCTTTCAGCCACAGTGCCAAGGGCTTTCCACTCATTTCCACAAACTACATGCAAGGCTCCATCAAAAGCAATCATTTCTTTAGTTCATCGGATCTCTATTTACTGCACAAACATTATTGTCCTTGTGGTTTGTGCTTTGTGATTGCTTTTATGAAGACAGTGAAGAGGCAAAATATATAGATGGAAAGTTAAATTGACTTTATATCTCTAAGATTTACTGTCTTCAGAAATAGCATGTTAGCTTAATGCATTTCTGATTTCAATGTGCTTTTTAGTTCATCTTCCCTGCATATAATAATTCTTTCAGACAGTGGGCCTGTGGAAGAAAACACCATGTGTGATTTCTTTCTGGGAGTTTTGAGGAATAAAAATGCTATTTTTTTTACTAATGTATCTGAACTATCCTATAAAATATGGTTATAATATGCAAAATGTCTTTCAGTTATAGATTTCTTTTTCCTCATGTGTTTGTTGTAGGATCTGAGGGAGGAATGTGTAAAGTTGAAAACAAGAGTGTTTGATTTGGAACAACAGAATCGAACATTAAGCATCCTGTTCCAGCAGCGAGTCAGACCAGCTTCTGATCTGATCCTTCAGGTATGTGTTCATGTGCAAAACAATTTTTGCTACTAAAATACTATTGACAGTAAGCTACTCAAGTTTAAGAGTTAGCAACATCTCCATGGGTTAGGCATATTGCAACAGAACCTAGATTCTCTCTCATCTCAAGAGATGTTATTAAAATTGAATGTCTCTTAAATTTCTGACTTTTTAAAGCTATGTGCAGATAAGAAGCACATGAACAAAGAATAAACAGGTAAAAGAGACAAAGAAGGTATCCTCTAGTGAGCAGAAGGTGGGGCCATGGAATGAAGTGAGGAAATAATCGATTAATTTAGGGACCAGTATTAGTAATCTTGCATTCTGTGATAAGGAAGGAAGACTTTTGTATAATGCCAAAGTAGATTTCTTTGTTTCAACCTCTGTAATCAAAGATAGAGCTGGGGTTGGTTTTATTCTCATAGCTCTCTTCATGCAGATGTCTTCTTCACAACACAACACTTTCTACATTCTGCCTCTGTTTGTTAGAGGTTCTGTTTGCCTAAATGCTCTCACTACCCTCTTTTATTTGTTTTGCCTTCAGAGCATGGAAAAAAGTCATGGAAAGCTAAACCACTGAATCATTTTGAAGCATAGGAAAATCTGCCTTATTGAAGGGTAACACACATGCATTGTCAGAGAGAGCTGGAGGACTGATCTTTGCAGTTTTCAATTTTGGGATCTCATTAATATGTGTGTTTGTGCAAACAAGCTCCCATGAGCCTCGGTCAGAGATTTTATGAGGCTGAGCCACCAAGGGGTGCACTGAGCTTTGTAGGGCCCACGTACAATGTCCGAAGCATGTCCCATTGCTGTCTGGTCTGGGTTGGCTTAGAGAAAGTAGACCAAGGTCTTTCTCCAACTTCTGATCCTCCTAACTATGCAATCCATACTGCATCCACTATCCATGTAAGGCTATTTAAATTTAAAGTAATTAAAATTGAATTGAATTAAATTAAAATTCAGTTCCTCTGTCATACTAACCACATCTCAAATATTCAAAAGGCACATGTGGGTACCATATTTGACAGTGTATGTATGGACCATTTCCATCATTATAGAAAGTTCTACTGGATAACACACTTATGGTTGGTCAAAACTGTGCTGATAATTTACCCTCTGAACTTTAACATAAACATCCTAGGACTCCTCAAGGAAATAATGGGGAATTGCAGTTCATTCCAGAGGAAGACATTTGATAAAGCTGAACATCAAAATGTAATTTGTCCCCCAAATTAAAATAAAACAGCTCTCTGAATTACAATACAGATCTCATCTCTTAAATTAATTTCCTCTCTGCTTTATCTGTTGGAGCATAATTCATAATTTATGACTCAAAAATCATGTGGAAAAAAAATAAGTCTATCTCTATTCCACTTCTGGTCCTGACCACAATAAATGTTTGTTGTAGGGGATCATGCATCTGTAAAAGTTGTTTTTCATTTGCTCTTTCATAATCAAGATCCAATATTTTACACAGCTGTTATATATATGAATGTTTTCTGTCTTGCTTCTTTTAACTTAAGGTTTTTCTGGAACAGTGTTTAAGGATATACAGTCCCTGTTTATGAATCATGATTTCTTTCCACAGTAAACACATATGCTGTAGATATATTTAAGCTTTTTTATTGGCTAGGACAAATTTCTTAAATCCATATCCAAATGGCAAAGAATAATGTGCATGCTGATAATAGAAACTCTGTGTTAGTTACTGGGTGTTTTCAGCCAACAAAGTTCATATTCATCTCTAAATAGTCCTCATTTCCAAGAGCCATTCTAATTTAAATAATATTTATAAAAGATGTACTATTCATCAGAAGGCTGGTGGTTCAAACCCACCAGCCACTCCTCAGAAAGAAGGTTGGGCAATCTACTTCTGTAGTGATACAGCCTCGGAAACCCAAGGAGGGGTCACTATGAGTTTTAGTTACTCATAATTCTGTGACAAAGAAGGATATAAAGTGTATGCCTGTTATCTTACCATTCACAACTGCAGATGAGAAGATTGCTGCTTTTTCAGATGGTCTGTTAATTATTTGACTCATGAGTTTTAATTTTCTGAAGTTGCTTTTGGTTTTAATTGAAATACAAATGCATATCACAGAGCACCAGCTAAAATAAAAGCAATCTGAGCTGAGCTTGCTTAGCATTTATAGAAGCTCAGTAATTATTCGTTGAATGAACCAACCAAGCAGTCAATCAGTTGTCGTGGAGTGTATTCTGACTCATGGTGACCCTATGTGTGTTACAGCAGAACCATGTTCCATTGGTATTTCAAGGGCTGATTTTTTAGAAATAGTTTGCCAGACCTCTTTTCAGAGACACTTCTTAGTACCTTTAAACTTCCAGCCTTTCAGTTAGGAGTTGAGTGTATTAAAAGGAAAAATAAATGACAATTTCACTCTCCAAGCAGGGGAGTTATTTTACATAAACCTAAAGGAGCTTTCTGCCCTCATTTCTTCCTCTAAAGTTTCCCTGTCTTAAGTGGATGCTCTGGTACTATGCATACATGCTTGTCCAACCCCGTCTGGTTGCAGGTATGGGGCTGGCTGAGTGCAGCAAATCCATCAGTTCCCTGGGTCCCGGGTAGTACAAAAGCTCAGATTTCTAAGTAGTTTCCAACATGTCTTAGAAAACCATCTTAGTTGTCATCTGCAGAATATAACCTGATGACCCACTACCATCTGAAACAAGTACCTGTAGAGACGTACAGAAAGATTTTTGAACCCACTATGATTTTGGGTAGATAAATTAAGCTTTTTCATTCAATATTAGAAGAGACAATAAAATTATGAGAAACAGTCAACTGTTTGTCCCTCAAAAATACAGAATCCAATTCATGGATATTATTCAGAAAATCCTTGTATGGGGAAACAAAAGAGGGTACTTTGACAAATTCTGGGATGCTTACAAAAGATGACTGGTACATGATGAGGGTAAGAAGAAAGCATAAAAAAGCCTAATATGAAAATTAAAATCTTAAGATTGACAATAAACTTCTCTATTGATTCCAACTTCTAGAATGGTATCTCTGGAACTGTGGGTGGTAATAAATAAGATTAAGAGGGATCCCTATATTAAAATGTACAATTTGATCTAAATTCAAAAGCATTAAATAACCAGTGTAGTGCATAAAATCCAAGAGGTAGTGCTCTTAATGGGACTAGAGTCTCTAACTGACCTTATTTTAACCAGCAAGCCAAGTTAACTGATGTTCTCCATTTCTTCTTAAATGTTATTGTAGAGCAACTTCAACCCTGTTGAACTTTGGCAGCTAGTAGAGAGTTCTTTACTAAGTCTTCCATACTTCACTTACACTTGAATTGGATGTTCACCAAGAATGAGTTATGTTTGTAACTTTATGGGTTTATGTGAGTAGTGCTTGTCCTGTTGTTGTTGTTGTTGTCATGTGCCGTCGAGTCGGACCCGACTCGTAGTGACCCCTCCTTGGGTTTCCAAGGCGGTATCACTATGGAAGTAGATTGCCTGACCTTCCTTTCGAGGAGTGGTTGGTGGGCTTAAACTGCCAGCCTTCTGGTTAGCAGTCAAGTGCCTCAGGCACTATGCTACCAGAGCTCCCAGTGCTTGTCTTGGTTATTAGTAATTTTTAACTATTATATAAACCATAGGAGCTCTGTTCAACAACAACAACATATAAATAACTGGACTATGGTACAAAACAAAAATTGTTTCTATAAAACAAAGTTGAGTGCTTCAAAAGCTTCTATAAAGACAAGTCACTAAAACATGTTTGTGATCAAATTAAATAAAGGTATATAACTAAAGAATTGTGGGATGTGAAGGACTGAATTAAACATAGAGGTGTTCTGCATGTGAATTGATTCCCAAGTGGTGTTTTTTTTTTTTTTTTTTAACATATAAAATACACATGTGCTTATTTTATTATTTTAAATCTATTGTGGTTTGGATGAAAGTTTACAGAGAAGATTGGCTTCCCATTCAACACGTGATGCATTTCTTGTTTTGTGACATGAGTTGCTATTTCCTCAGTGTAACAGCGCCCTTACCACTTCCTCCCCAGATTCCCTGTTTCCATTTGTCCTTCTTCCCTTTCCCTTCCTGCCTTCTGAACTTTGTTTTTGGGCAAATGCTGTTCTTTGGTCAGATATGGTTGATATTTCTGATGATTACATTCCTCACAGGTATAAATATTCATGTTATAGGTCTGTCTGTTGTTTGGCTGAAAGGTGATCCCCAGGGGTGGATTTGTTCTAGGTTTGAAGGATGTGTAAGAGCCATAGTCTTGGGGGTTCCACCAGTATGTTTCAGACCAGTAAGTCTGGTCTTTTTTATGGTTTTGAATTTTGTACTACATTTTTCTCCCACTCTGTGCAGGAACTTCCATTGTGATCCTGATGAGAGCAGTTGATTGTAGTTACCATCTAGTTCTTCTGGTCTCAGGTTGGTAGAGGCTGTGGTTCACATGGTCCTTTGGACTAATTGTTTCTTTCCAAACCAAAATGACCAAACTCACTGTCATTGAGTCGATTCCAACTCTTAGTGACCTCTATTAAGTTTTCAAGACTGTAAATCCTTTTTTTTAAAAAAAAAATTTATTGTGATTTGGGTGCACATTTACAAAGCAGATTCATTTTACTCTCAACAATTCATGCACATTTGGTTTCATGGCCCTGATTTTAATCCCCAGCCGTAAAAAGCTCTCCTCCCATCTCCTCTCTGACTGCCCCTTCCCTGTGCCCCTGGTATCTATGCATTCCTGTCTGTCCAGCTTTCCATCTATGTGAATCTTCCCCCTCTGATGTCTATGTCTGATTGATCTAACAGGTGCATCTCCCTGGGATAGGTGGGTGCATCTCCCTGGGGCAGGTGTTCTGCTTGTAGGTCTTTCTACTGTTTGGCTGAGAGCTAATCCGTAGAAGTGAGTCCAGTTCCAGGCTCAAAGGATAACACAGAACAATAGTTTTGGGGTTCCACCAATCTCTATTCAACCAGTAATTCTGGTCATTTTTGTGGTT